CTTCCATATGCTCTCTGACCGAGAATTAAACCTGCAATCTAGGTATGTGCCCTGACCAAGAATCGAAACTGCACCTTTTGAGGTATGGGTACATATGGGTCAACACCCCAACCAACTGCTCCCCTCTGGCCAGGACTGAACTCTCAATTCTTGACCACCTAACTTTCAATGAACTTTTCTTGCAGTGCACCTCATTCAATCACGCCTGCGTTTATGCCTCCGACTTTGTTATCACTTATGCTTCATATTCGTAAGCAATTAGGAGTCTCAATCTGTAACCACAAAACTATCATCAAGCCCATTGTTAGTTTATTCAAATATTCCCACAATGGCCCATCGCATTGGCCTGCATTCTTAGCTGACAACATATTCTCTCCAGCAAGTTTCATCAGGAAGGGCTGTTTCAAGAAAGCTCACCGAATTGTTGGAAAGTTCCTTTTAATGGGAAATGGTAATTAGAATGTCGGGTTTCATTTAAGCCTTTCTCAGCTAGATCCTTCTCATTGGCCTTTGACTATGTGTAAGTCTTTCCAATTAAAATAGAATACTCCTTTTTGATACCATGTCCCTCCCCAGTTCCCACCCATCTCTCTCCTTTAGTTCACAGCTACATTTCTCAGAAGAGTTTTTATGTCTATTTTTACTCCATTTCTTCTCATCCCATTAATGTCACACCCATTCAATCTAACTTCTGTCTGATTATTCCACCAAATTTACTGTTGCTAATGTATCCAATTGCCAGCCTATTGCTACATATAATGACTACTTTTAGGTCTTCATCATATTGTACCTCTCAACTGTATTGAATACAGTGACCAACCAGTCTTCCTTTGGAAACATTTGCTTCTTTTGTTTTGTTTTTTTTGTGGCTTGGTTCTTTTGCCTTTTCAGATGCTCCTCCCCCCCCCTACCCCCCGCCCCCCGCCCGCCAATCTCCTTTGCAGACTTATCCTTCATTACTTAGCTGTTAAATATTGACTTTATCATGCCATATACTTTACTCAGAAAATCTCCACACACAGTCTCAGTTGTCACCTCTGATATATCAACAACTCAAGTTTACATCTTCAGCTCAACCCTATGCTTGAGCTCCAGACTTGAGTGTCTAACTGGTGCCTTGACATTTCCTCTTGGTTGTCTCAAGGGCATCGCACAATGAACTGATCCAATCCTCCCTCTCTCCAGAAAACATGGTCTTCTAGTGTTGCCTCTTTGGGTAAATAACATCTTAATTGGTCCAGTTTCTCAAGCCAGAACAGAAAGTTGTCTTAGCGACTTCTCTTTTACGTCATACCCAATCCACACCTGACCTTGGACCTATCAATTTTACCAGCCAAGTTTTCCTCACACTATCTGTTTTGTTTTTCCCCATTATCACCGCCAGAGATTGAGCAGCCATCTCTGTCATCATCACCTCTAGAGTAGCTTTGAATTTGTGTATCTTCTCCTGCTCCCCCTCGAATCCTTTCTCTACATGTAGGTGAAATGATCTTAACAAACAATAGTTTTAATCATGGTCACTGCCTCTGTTTAAATATTCTGAAGGCTTCCCAGTGCTGTTAGGCTAAAACCAAGAGGAACTGAATCAGTGACCTATTGGTGCATGGGTTGAAACTCAACCACTGTGCCAAACTGGCCAGGCACTGAGACCTTATTTTTAAATGGCTAATGCAATTGCTAAGAAAGGGATGATGGAAGTATGAGTCAGGGTGGGGTTACTTAGTTTAGTTGAAGTGTTAATTATTGACTTACCTTGAAAATGAATGTTTCCTTCATGTTTTGTTTTCCTTTATAGAATGGCAAAATTGTTTCAAAGATTGAGGGTGCAAACGCACCACTTGTTAATAAAACAATCATTAACTTGGTGAATGATGAGAAGAAAATTGCAGCAGGTGAAATCGTTCGCCCTCAGGTAATACTTTGTACTCCTGGCTATTTTATTTTATAAAATAGCTATGACATCTTTTTTGCTGTTTTCCTAAAGCACTTTCCCTAATTTTATAACTATCTAGGTATCTAAATGTTGCAAAGTTTCTGGGAAGTATCTTGGCAGTATGAATCAAAGGCCCTAAAAAAACACACACAGGTATCCTTTGAGCAATTATACTCCCAATAAATTTTCCTAAGATAATGAGACAAATATAGAAAAGAATGCTTATTGCAGTGTTGTCTGTTATTAAACACTGGGGGCCCAGTGCACAAATTCGTGCACCTTGAAAGGAACTGTGGGCACAGGGGTGGGTCTCAGCCCATTCTCCAGGCCCCCACCCAGACCCTCCCGCCGCAGGCCCCGGTACCCTGTTTGCTGGCAGCCCCGCTTCTGCCGCCGCTGCTCCCACGCACTGATGGCACCGGCCCCACTCGCCCCTGCTGATGGCGTGGAGCGATAGGGGCTGGTGCCAGCAATGGGTGCGAGTGTGGCTGGCGCCATCAGTGGGTGTGAGTGGCGGCTGCTGCCCCAATTTCCCCTCAGGAGCAGGGGGAGGTGGAGAAGTCCTCAGGTGTGATCGGGGCTGGCAGCCGCCGCTTGCACCTGTTGATTGCGCCAAGCAATTGGGACTGGCACTGGGGGCCAGCAGCAGGTGCGAGCATCAGCTCCGACGCCGGCTGCGGGTGCGAGTGCTGGGTAGGACCGCGGCGCATGGGAGCAAAGAATTTTCAGTAACCACCAGAGGCTTGCCCCGATGACAGTGACTGGTGCCCCACCTTGGTCTGGTGCCCCTGCTCACCTCCTCCACCATCCCGATGCAGCTGACAACCGCCGTGTTCCACGCGTGCCCTCTGGTGGTCAGTGCACGTTATAAGAGCTGGTTGTTCGGTTGTTCAGTTGTTTTGTTGTTTGGTTGTTCTGCTGTTTGGTCTATTTGCATATCAGGGTTTTATATATATAGATTTGGAATTAGTCAATGGAGAAGGTGGCGGTGGAGTAGGATGATCTTGCTTGCATCTTCTGCTGGAACCAAATTAGAAGTAAAATGCAATTAGGGAACGTTCATTCTGAATTGCCAACTGAAGACTAGTTAAAGAAGAGATTTTTTAAACAAGGAAAAACAGAAACTACCTCAGGACTGGTAGGAAGAGCAGGGGGCATGAGAAAGGATGGCCGGGCTCCCAGGGGCAGCAGGCCAAGGGTGCGGAGGGATATCCGGGCCGGGGTGGGTCTGTTTCCCCCTTGAGAGGAGTGAGGCCTGGACCCCCATCTGAGCTTCCCATCCCAGAGTACCAGAGCTGGGAATAGCCACCCATATAGCATCCAGCGTTGAAAGGCTTGGGGCTTCTAAGAGATGGATCCTGCCGGGGACAAATCCGCTTATTTTTTAAAGGGTCAGAGCACAGGATTTTTGTTCACAGCCACTCACCCTGCACTTCAGCAGAGGGAGGGCAGTGCAACTGGAGTCACCTGAGGACAGTCTGGGGTGGGAGGCACTGGGGAAAGACATGGGAGAGAAGCTTCCAGGATCCCAGTGCTTGGTCCTCCCCATTGATACCACAGCATCCATCCCCCTCCAACCCCTCAGGCACAGCCCCTCCCATCAGCAGCAGCCTGGGGAAGCTCCTCCCGTTTCTGGAATCCCCGCTCGCTCGCCACACCCTGCATCTCAACCCCCACTGAGGAGGCAGTAGCGGGTCTATGGGTTGTCAGACTCGGAGCATTGGTGACTGGCTTCAGGGTGGAACCATTTCCCTCCCTTTCCCAGGAATCTGAGTGGCACTCCCAGCTCCCAGCAGACCCCAGTGGCCTGCCTTCGAGGGGCTCCACCCTCCTGAGGTCAGGGAAATATTCCAGGACATGGGTGGCGGCAGGTCCCAAGGGACCTGCTCCTGGGCCCCATGCTGCTAACATGTGGGTCTTGGAGCACAGCTTGGCCCCTCCCATGTCCAGCCCAACTCAGCAGAGGCAGATACAAACTGTGGATCATTAGAAGCTTTGATCAGGTTGCCGAGAGCCGATTATAGACAGCTTCTGACATTGGCTAGCACCCAAGTACCCACTGGGAGGCCTGTGAATGGCACACAAAATAGCCAGCCTCATACATCATCAGCACAAGACCCAAAGGGAGATCTCAGCAGGCACTACACACCCCAAGACCTCAGTTTGTTCTTTATCATTCTTTTCAGTTCGGGGCTCTCGCAGTCTGAGACACCTCGCTGCAGTGGAGCGGGGAGAGGCTCCCGCCACTGCCACTGCGCTTGCCAGTCATGAGCCTGGCTTCTGTGGGAGCGCACTGACCACCAGGGGGGCAGCTCTGGCATTGAGCGTCTGCCCCCTGGTGATCAGTGTGCATCATAGCAACTGGTCGTTCTGGTCGTTCCACTGTAAAGATCGCTTAGGCTTTTATTATATAGGTATATACAGAATCACAGAAGCACTTTCAGGACTTCTTAAGTAATGAAGACCCCACCACTGCCCCCACCCATTCTAGTATTTTACTCTATAGTAAGCAATGAACTATTGTTTTGAGTAAGACTTTTTTTTTAAGTTAAGGTGTTATCTTTCTGTTTCTAATTTACTAATAGTAATAGTCAGGAATGGATCTTGAAACTTATCAAATACTCTTTTGATCTTTTAATATGATAATTATATATTTATTATTTTCTTGTTAATCTATGCTTCTTTCTTATTTTGTTCCTTGTACTCTCCTTAAGTTTTAAAGTTTTTTTTTAACCATTTCCATACAGCATATATGCATTATTTATGATAGTTCCCCTACCCTACCTATTTGACATAGTCTTTATCCTGTTTTAGTGGAATGTTTGGGGAAAGTAGTGTTAGATAAGTGCAGGCACATTTCCACTTTACCTTTTATCCCTTGGATTATAAATGTTTATCAGAAATAAAACTTCTAAAAACTCACTACCACATTAAAATGTAATTGTTTTACTTGCATTTTTCTTCCATAGTATCATGAAATTGGACTTGTAGGCTCAAATGCAGAAGTTGGCAGGTCAGCATCCAAAGATACTTTTGGTAAGAAAATTTAAAGTAATGGCAAGGGATTTGTAGTAGATGGATGCTCATTACAGCATCACCTAAAGTAGCAAAGAGCTGGTAATAGCATCAGTATGAATTGATAAGGAACTGGTAGGATAAATTATGATTTGTGCAATACTAGACCCAGTTATTGAAAGGAAACCTCTTTTTCCCAGCAGGTGTGGCTCAGTGGTTGAGCATCGACCTATGAATCAGGAGGTCATGGTTCGATTTCCAGTCAGGGCATGTGGTTAAGGCACATGCCCGGGGTTGCCGGCTCCATCCTGTGTGGGGCGAGGCAGCCAATCAGTGATTCTCTGTCATCATTGATGTTTCTGTTTCTCTCTCCCTCTCCCTGCCTCTCTGAAATCAATACGAAAAAATATTTTTTTAAAGAAATTTCTTTTGCTTCCCTTCCCCTTGTCTTTGCTCTCTATGTCTGGAGCCTTTCAGGACCAGTGCCTACCTAGTCTGTTTTTTGTGTTTATTTATTTATTTATTTACAACTACTACTATTATTATTATTTGTACCACAAACTCTTGGGAATGTTTCTCTTGTATGCAAATGTAGGATGTGCACTTTGATTCCAAATAGAACCTCTTTGGTAGTTGAAATGCCACAATAAGAACAAAGCTGTCAATGGACAAAAATTCACTGGACATCAGTAGTTTACATTTTTAATTACTAAAACCTTCATTATCTAGACTTAGTGCCAAGACAACGAAATTTTTCTATTTATTTTTTCCCAGACCGAATATACAGTATTGCTATTATCAAACCCGAGGCTAGGAATACTGGAAAAACTATGGAAATTAAAGAAAATGTAAGTATTATTTCACAATAATAGTTTAAATTAACTGAAAAATAACAACCCCTTAATTATCAATTTAGAGATAAGCTTATCATTTAGAGTGAAATAGAACATAATGAACTTCTGGTGCCTCTGATGGCTTTGAATGTTTTGTCTTTAAAAGGCCAGAACCACTCAGGCATCCTTATTTTTTTTTATTTTTTTTTAAAATTTCTTAGACGGTTGGGATCCTTAAGCATGCAAAACCTCAGAGAAGTAGGGTCCACAAAGGAACCAGGGTTATCTTATGGCATCCAGTTAAGCCAGAGCTGGGAATGCCTCTGGGTCATCTACATCAGGAGCAGAAGCACTTGACTTGTCAGTCCTCAGGCATCCTTATTTAAATAACTCCGTTCTATTAGATTGCAGCAAATGTTTTTCATGTTGAGTGAAAACTTGTTATAAGCTCACATTAGCTTGCTTTATTCCCTATGTGTTGTCATAAATGTATGGTCCTTTTTAGATACATGATAGCTTAAGGATGTATTTAATATTTTGCTTTAGAGAAAAAAAATTTTAGAGGAAAATTGCATTCTAATCCAAAGGTCAACAGACATTTTCTCCAAAGGGTCATTTGGTAACTATTTTCAAGTTTGTGGGTACATGGTCTGTCACAACTCTGCGATCATATGGAGAAAACACCAGCAGACAGTATGTACACAAACGGGTGTGACTATGTTCCAATAAACTTTATTTAAAAAAATAGGCAGTGGGCTAGATTTCGACTGAAAGCTATAGTTTGCTGACCCCTGAATAAAGACTTTGTGTTGAAACAACAAAATTATATTGAAATTTGAAAGAATATTGCATGTGCGGTAGAGATCACATAGAGAGCTATGTCAGAAGGGGTTGGCTATCTCTTGATGAACTTCCCACTGTGTATTCTTTCTTTAGCTATAGTAGCATTATCATTGACTAATGATCCACGGGTCATGGTACATATATTCTCTCTCCCAATTATGAGTTGATTTAATTGATACTTCTCTCTAAGTATAAACCCTAGCCCCCTTTTTTCCAGATTCTGGTGTGTATGTGGGAAGGGGGACACAGACTGTACCTCAGTGCCCCATATATTGCTTATATTTTATAAAGTTTTCAAAAATAATATCCTTACCAATGGTTTACAGTTGCTTATTCTAGTATGTTTTAATAGCTACAATAGTGAAGATTTTCAAATTATATAGTTGTTTTAGTTAAGGCAGTGCTATTAATCACCATTTCATCTGAAATGTTTTGTTTTGACATACTAAACAACATTTCAGAAATGTAAATTATCAATAGCTACTACATACCTCACTTCTCTGGAATGCAGTAAAAAGCTACATAACCCACAGGGCAGAAAAAGTTTAAAAAATGTTTTAATAAAAAGAAAATGAACACACTGCATTTTTCAGCTATAACAAAGGAGAAGTTATCAAGGTTAAAAGTTGCTTGAATTTTCTTTTCTTTTGTCAGACACTTAGTAACTTAACAGACATGATTTGAGTATTTAGAAATTTTTCAAATTGGAACGTCAGGAGAGGAGTCACTAAGATGTAAATATAGCTCTGCAATATCAATCCAGCCCATGGAACCAGGTCAGAGCTCGCTTTAATAATAGAAGCAGAAAGAATTGGTGCTGGGTACACCCAATCAAATTGAGGTTAAATTATTGATATAGTTTCATGTAATTACTAAGTTGCTTTGACTCCAGGTTACACTTCGGACTGTGTATTATTTATTATATTTCGCTGTTTAGTTCCTCATTGGACTTGTTATATTAGCCTAAAAACTTCACTTTGTTACATTTTATTATACTTGAGTGTGACAGGCAAACGGAATTTGTCATTAAATTAAATTTTCTTTAAGACAAGTTACACATGGTTAAATCTTAAATTCTGCCCTTCCCCATAATTTGCTTATTTTTGTTGTTAGAAAATTAAAATATAATAGATCATGAGCTATAACCGTAACAAAGTAAAGCCTTAAAAAAGTTAGTGATTTCAAAAATGGATGGTTAAGAAATTTATGTCTTTACGAGCGATTCTGTTAGTTTTTTCTCATTTTGAGGCAATTCACATAAATAATATAAATATTGCGGTGTCTCTGGATTAAGTCTTGAAAACTTAAATACTAAGGGCTTGACAAGGGCCTTCTGTGATATTTATTTTTGAGCCTCTTCAAATCTAGTGCCCTATTGATTGTGCTGAGGTCTTTACATGAAATACATTAAAATTGGGGTGGTATATGAAGCCTAGGACACAAATGTCCTTGACTTGTTTTGCACGTGGTCCTACAACCTCTGGATCTGACCTTGCTCTCTCATTGAAGATTGTCAACGCAGGATTTGTCATAGAAGCAGAAGATAATAGAGTGCTCACTGAAAACCAAGTGAGGGAATTCTATAGTCAAATGGCAGAGCAGGTAAGAAAGTTTAACAAAAACCCCACTGTGTTTTCTACATTCTTATCCGTTTCAGATCCTCATTATAGAAAAGCAAATGCATAAGTGTGACCAACCCAATAAGCTCCTGCTCTCCCTGTTTGTGTCCATACCGTGGTAATACCAAAGATGGTGACTCTGGAGAAATCTCCATCAGTCGACCAGAAGTGGGTGATCTAATTGTGTTCTTTTGGAATGAAGACCTCATTATATTATGTCCTCTAACACTCCCTGCATGAGCCTGGAAGTAAATATCCAGGAATTTCCTATAGATTTTTGTTCCAGCTGGAAGGCTACTTGTCATACACTTTACAGGAAAGCTTTAATTCTTTCTGTACCCAAAAGCCTCTCTCTCAAGCTATTTTTTAATTCTCTCTTGCTTGGCGGTATATGATACAGGCAGTGCTATGTACTGGAAAGTGCACTGGTTTGGGGGTGAGGAGACGTAGCTTCTACAAATCGACTGTCCAATATGGTAGCCATTAGATACATTAAATAAGTTAAGTACAAATTAAATAAAAATTCAGTCTTAGTTGCACTAGCCACATATGTTGGAGAGCACAGAACATGTTTGTCATCACGGAGAAAGTTCTACTGCACAGCACTTTGTAAACTAGCTGCACCACTCAAAGCATCTCTATTAGCCCCAGAAAGGATTAGACTGGCAACATCAGCATTTACCTGGGAGCGTTTGAGAAAATCCAATTCCTGAGCCCCACCCTAAATCTACTGAATCATAAACTCTGGGATTGGGCTCCAGAAACCTGTATTCACATAGCAAGCCCCTCAGATGATTTGGAAAATTCCTAGAGTTTGAGAATAGCTATTAGACTATCTTTTTTTAATTTTATTTTTTATTGATTTTTTACAGAGAGGAAGGGACAGGGATAGAGAGCCAGAAGCACCGATGAGAGAGAAACATCAATCAGCCACCTCCCGCACCGCCTCCCCCTCCCCTGCCACTGGGAATGTGCCCGCAACCAAGGCACAAGCCCCCGACTGAATCAAACGTGGGACCCTTGAGTCCGCAGGCCGATGCTCCATCCACTGAGCCAAACGGGCCAGGGCAGCTATTAGACCAGCGGTTCTCAACCCATGGGTCGCGACCCCTTTGGCGGTCGAATGACCCTTTCACAGGGGTCGCCTACGACTATCCTGCATGTCAGATATTTACATTACGATTCATAACAGTAGCAACATTACAGTTATGAAGTAGCAACAAAAATAATTTTATGGTTGGGTCACAACATGAGGAACTGTATCTAAAGGGCAGAAGGTTGAGAACCACTGTATTATACTGTCTTTAAGATCAATCCCTGCTGGCTGTGAGCTTTAATCCTTGAAAGATGTGTCTGTTAACAGGGGCTTTATAAGGATACCATTTCCTTGCCCAGTGATCATGAAGGGGAAGATGCTACTTGACTTAGGTGGTAGCTGCCATGTTAGCCTATCCATTTCAGGAACCTGACCCGTTTATCATTTTATTTTGTAGCCTGACTTTGAAGAGTTTGTCTCATTAATGACACATAGCCTAAGCTGTGTTCTAGTTGTATCTCGAAGCAGTGAACAACTACCTCTCTTGGAAGAGGAAATTGTATCTAAATCTGAGACCGAACCTCAAGAACCATCTGAGGGTCAACCTGAGATGGACCCATCTTCCCTGGTGAAGAAAAAGTGGGACAGGTAGCTCAAGACCAAGAATTTATGATTTGCAATGTCTTAGTAGGTAATGAAAAGTGATGTCCGAATATCTCAAAATCTAAAGACAAGCATAATAGTATTCATGTGAAAGCTACAAGCATTTCTCTCAGTCATTTCTAAAGTACTGTCTATTTAGCAAAACGGGGATTGCCCTGAAAGTTTATATCAAAGGGATTGGCAAGGGGAACAGTTTTCCCTTGTCTTTCTACAACTGGGCATAGCAGTCTGGCCTCATTGGCTGAGTCTCCAGGGGGAGACTTGGACCATGTATAATCCCCCCCAACCCTGTCTCCTCTCCCATTTCCCCACCTACTTCCACCTTCCTTATGTCCTAAAGACATCAAACGTACTCTGCCCGTTTGCTTAAGGCAATTAGTGGTTATACATTGCTGAGAATGAAGGAATTTTTATTTTTGTTAATGGGTTTTTAAATATTTGAAATCAAATGTTAACGTATAGATTGTTGGTTTTTATGAACTACTATTTGTGTCTTTTATTCCTCTGAAGACTCAGAAAATCCAGAATTTAATGCAAAGGTTGTCTGAGTTTGTTTGAGGGAAAGGTAGGTGAACAGGAACAAACTGAGATTAGCTAAGTCTTGAGGCTTCATGATGTGTCTCCCCATGCTGGATAGACCACCTCCATTGCGTTTTCTGGCTTGGAATCTCCATAATTTTCCTTGTTGTGTTATTAATGAATTGTATTGGCTTTTCTTAAGTACCAACATCTGCTGATTCCTAGCAATGTCATAGCTTTATAGGTAGCGTGGAGACACTACTATCATTCACTCCAAGTTTTAAGTGGGATAGAGGCACTCATTAAGATAAATCAACTGCTGACAAAGGGCTTTAGAAACAGTGCCACTTACTTTCAGATTTTTTAAGGGAAAATGATAGTCAATTGTTAAAAGATGGTGGCAGGTTATGTGGAATCTACACTCACCTCCTCCCAGGACCAACCTGGAATTACAACTAAAGAATAGGAAAATGCCCTAGCTGGTTTGGCTCAGTGGATAGAGCGTCGGCCTGCGGACTGAAAGGTCCCAGGTTCGATTCCGGTTGAGGGCACATGCCCGGGTTGCGGTTGCAAGCTTGATCCCAAGTGGGGGGCCTGCAGGAGGCAGCCGATCAATGATTCTCTCTCATCATTGATGTTTCTATCTCCCTTCCCTTCCTCTCTGAAATCAATAAAAATATATTTATAAAACAGAATAGAAAAATGATCCTGAATAACCAACTGAGGACCAGATGGAGAGAAGCTTTATAACCAAGGACATGCAGAGCAGGCCACATTCTTACTTGTAGGAAGTATGGAGGCATGAGAGGGCTGGTGGGGCTCCCACAGGTGGCAGCTGAAGTTCTAGAGGGATATCTCAGCCCTAGGGAGTTCCACCTGAGAAGTCTAGGATCTAAACCTCAAACTGGACTCCTGAGCCCAGAGCATCAGAATCAGGAAAAGTGCCCACATAACATCTGACTGTGAAAAACAGGGCGTTTCTGTCTGCCAGGGAGAGATAGCTAGAAATACAGGCACCCTCCTTAAGGGCCAACACACAAAATTTCATTTGCAGCCACTCACCCTGGGCTCTAGTGGAGCAAGGACAGAATGGACTAGAGCTGTATGAAGAGAGTCTAAGATTGGTAGCTCTGAGAAGAGAGCTGAGAGGTCAGCCGCCAGGATCCCTGTGCTGAGTTATTCCCCCCATACTGCAGAAGCCATCTTCCTTAAGTTGAGCATTCCCCACGATGCAGTGTAAGCTTAGGGGGGAGCAATAGCCCCACTCATTGGAATCCTTTTGGCCCTACCATGTGGAGCTTAAGCCCTGCTGAGGAATATAGCCAGAAGTTCTTTAAGTGACTGGCCCTAAGAGATAGCCTGCTGGCAGGGGCATGTCTCTGGATGCTTTGAGACTTTTGCTGACCTGCCCCTGGGCCTGGTGCTAGTAAAAGCAGGTCTTGGTGTGCAGCTTGGTCCTTTCCACTTGCACCCATGCCCAGCAGAGGGAGCCACATGCTATGGATCACTGATAGCTTCAAACAGGTTGCCCAGGTCCAGGCACAGATATTGTCTGACATTGGCCTGTACCAGAGACCCTCAAAAGAGGCCCAGAACCAATACACCCAGAGGCCTGCTCCAGACAATAACAAATCAGGATCCAATAAGCTTCACAAGCAGCATATCCACAGGGAGATCTCAGCAGCCACCAATCACTGCTGAGGCGAATACCACCTCATGTGATCAGCACCTGCATAGCAGTTTGCATGCTCTGTTGGAGGTTGAGCCTAACTGTCAGCCAGCCTGAGGGTCGATCCCACACATGAACATGCCAATAGCAAACAAGCCTCAATGACAATAGGAGGGCCACATGACGTGCACAAAGGACACTCTTAGAGCACCCAGCTCAGGTGATCAGGGAGTCTGTGCTACTGGGTTCCACAGGTCATCTACTACTTAAGGCCACCCTACCAATCCTGGGAGTCATAGCAGATCTACCTAATACATAGAAACAAACACAAAGAGGCAGCCCAAACGGGAAGACAAAGGATCAGGCCCAAAGGAGGGAACAAGAGAGCTAAATGCAATAGAGGGAAGCAATTTATCAAGTATAGAGTTCAGAGTACAGTGGGGCCTTGACTTACGAGTTTAATTCGTTCCGTGATGAATGAGACATGTGATGCTGGGCTAATGTTGTGGCGTTCACTGTGACGTTCGCTGCGCCATCTAGCGGTGGGGTATCTGAAGCTGGCTCGTAACCCGAATTTTAGCTCATAACTCAAAGAAAAAAAACGGCCGAGAGACGGCTCTTATCTCGAAAAACTCGTTAGTCGGGACACTCGTAAGTCAAGGCCCCATCGTAATGATTATGAGGAAACGAACTTCTAGGGACAGAAAAATCTTTATTTATTTATTTTTAAATTTCTTTATTGATTAAGTTATCACATATGTGTCCTTATCCCCACATTACCCCCCATTCCCCCCACTCATGCCCTCACCCCCCTGTTGTCTGTGTCCATTGATTAGGCTTATATTCATGCATATAAGTCCTTTGGTTGATCTCTCTCCCTCACCCCCACCCTCCCCTACCTTCCCTCTGAGGTTTGACGGTCTGATCGATGCTTCTGGGACAGAAAAATCTTTAAATAAAATATGACTCCTCCTCCTACTATTACTGCTGCTGCTACTACTGCGACTACTGTGACTACTGCTACTAGTACTTGACTTTCAAGTGCTACATACACATAAAAAATTTTTTTCATTTTTGAAAAGTGGAATTTATTGGAGTGACATTGGTTCACAACACCATAAAGGTTTTAAATGTCCAACTCAATAAAACATCTGCATACTGCATCGTGCACCTACTGCCCAAAGCCAAGTTTCTTTATCCCATTTATCCCGCTTTCCCACCTCCACCTATCCTCACTCCCCTTTTTCTCTGGCTATCACACTGTTGTCTGTGTCTATGTTTTTTGCTTAATCTCTTCACTTTCATTCAGCTCTCAAATCCCCTCCCTCCCGACAGCTGTCAACAATTTTAAAAATTTATGTATGTATGTATGTATATATGTATGTATTTATAATTGACTTCAGAGAGAGGAAGGGAGAGGGAAAGAGAGGTAGAAACATCAATGATGAGAGAGAATCATTGATTGGCTGACTCCTGCATGCCCCACATTGGGGATTGAACCAACAACCCTGGACATGTGCCCTTGACTGGAACTGAACCATGATTTCCTGGTTCATAGGTAGACACTCAACCACTGAACCACGCTGGCCAGGTAACAGTTTTTTAAAAAATAAATATATTTTTGCCGAAACCGGTTTGGCTCAGTGGATAGAGCGTCGGCCTGCGGGCTGAAGGGTCCCAGGTTCGATTCCGGTCAAGGGCATGTACCTGGATTGCGGGCACATCCCCAGTGGGAGATGTGCAGGAGGCAGCTGATTGATGTTTCTCTCTCGTCGATGTTTCTAACTCTCTTTCTCTCTCCCTTCCTCTCTGTAAAAAATCAATAAAATATATTAAAAAATATATTTTTATTGATTTCAGAGAGGAAAGGAGAGGGAGAGAGAGATAGAAACATCAATGATGAGAGAGAATCATTGAACCCAGGACCCTTCAATCCGCAGGCCTACACTCTATCCACTGAGCCAAACCGGCTAGGGCAAAAATTGTTTTTTAAATTAAGATTTCACCACACACATATGCTGATTTTAATCCAATAAAATTGGAAATAAACAATAAAAAGAGGATCAAAACATCTTATCTATTTGAAAATATAAAGAATGCTCCTAAAAAACCTTTGATTCAAAGACAAAATTAAAAGAAAAAACAGAAACTATCTAAAAATCTTTACACAGAGGAAAGAAAAAAGTTTATAAACATTTCTTTGGGCTTTTTACCCTCTCATGAAGACAAACATGCATAGTTTCATTTAATTGATCTTTGGATTGGGTCAATAAAAAGTTGAATTAAATACATTATTTATTTATTTATTTACTTACTTATGTATTTATTTTTGCTTCTACTTATTTCATTAATTAATTATATTTATTTTTAATTCTTTATTGTTGAAAGTATTGTCTCCTTTCTCCCCATTGTTGTCTCTCAGCTTACCCCCACCCCCATTGTCTGTGTCCATTGGTTATGCTTATAAGCATACAAGTTCTTTGGTTGATCTCTTCCCCGCCCACCCTCTCCTGCCTTCCTGCTGAGATTTGACTGTCTGTTTGATGATTCCCTGTCTCTGGATCTATTTTTGTTCATCAGTTTATGTTGTTCATTATATTCCACAAATGAGTGAGATAATGTGATACTTACCTTTCTCTGACTGGCTTATATTTTTGATGTGTAGAGAGATGCAATTTATCTTTATGTGAAATTAAAATTTTTAAAAATTCTTTATTAGTTAAGGTATTACAAATGTGTCCTCATCCCCCACATTAAACCCCCATCCCCCCCTCCCCACTCATGCTCTCATCCCCCT